GGGGGGCCTGGCCTGCTCCCTACCCCGGCCCCCTCCCGGGTAGAGGGGCAGATGATGGGTTTCATCTGCATGCACTACAAGCATGCTCTATTGTTTTCATTGCTGGGGGAGTTGACACCATGATTTACTGCACTGACAACCAACCCTTGTGACACCACTGGCTTGCGTCCAGTATGTAGGGATGTTCTGGCAAAGCTCGCGTGCTCTGGATCCTGCATCCAACTCGTTATCCTTTGACCTCTGGTTCTTGGGACATGAGCTTGCTGCCTGACCTGTAGGTTTTGGAATTCACTGACTCCCACAACCCAGTGAGCCAGGAGCCTTCCCCCCTGACCTGCCAATTCTGGGTTTGTCAGCCCCTGCACCACGTGAGTCAGGAGAAGCCTCCAGCCTGACACCTAACACGGATTTGGAACTTGTCAGCCTCCACAGCTGTGTGAACTATTTCCTTGAGATAAATCTCTCTCTATATTTATATATACATGCTTCACTGGTTTTGCTTCTTGAGAGGCCCCCCCTAAGACGCAGGGACAATGTGACAATGATGATAAGTGAGTGAAAACATTTTCACCTTAGTCCTGTTAAATTAGGACCTTCCAGATACTTAATTTGCTGGGAGACCAATAGCCTGTTTGCGAAAGGAGTTGGCTGTTAGTGGAAGCCAGTTTGTGACCATCTGTCAACCGTAGCAGCTCATACTAGTCTCTTTTTACCTGTCTAGGAGATTGAGACCTACGTTTTATGTGGTTTGATATAGCTGTAGCTCAGGACAAAACCTTTTAGGTGAGGTTAAAACTTAAACTCAAAACTTAGAGAATTACTTATGTACTTGTTAATAAGGTTAATGTTTTGTGTTAGGTAAGGTCACTACCTAATGTATTCTTGGTTATTTAGAGTTTGTATATGTATGTGTAGTGTTTAAGAGTTTCAGCTACCACTTATTACTGTGACCATGGCAACTTTACATGTGCTTTACATGTATATGAAAGCCTGTTTTTCTGGTTTTAAACTAGAGATAATATCAGCCTCCAGGAGGGTATAATGAGGAGTAAATGAGAAAATGCTTGTAAAGCCCTTAGCGAACAGTAAATAAATTCAGTATGTATTTTTAGCTATTGTTATCTTCATAGCCACTTATGTCCTTAAGTTAAACTACTTGAATTTCCAAATCTTTCATATCAAGGATCCTGTCTCAGTCAGCACGCTTTCTGTACTGACTTGTTCACAGGGTTAGGTTCATTTTTGAAATTCATTTGTTGAAACTTGTTTGCGCCACTTGGAATGTTTGCTCTTCGGTTTTACTAGCTTCAGAAAAGATAGGTTAAGAGATTGAGGGTTTAGGAAATAGTATAGTCCCTGGGTGGTGCAAAAGGTTAATGTGCTTGTCTGCAAACAGGTTGGAGGTTAGAGGTACCTTGGAAGAAAGGCGTAGCAATCTGCTGAAAAACCAGCCAGTTGTGGAGCACAGCTTTACTCTTGACATACGTGGGGTTGCCATGAGTTGGAATTAACTTTTTCTAAAGTTTAGTTAGACTGAAGAGGTTTTTAAAAATATTTTGAGTACGTGCACACACTGCAAATCTCAAAAGGGATAAAAAAGGCTTTTAGAGAAAGATCACCCCCTCACTCCTATTTCCCAGTAATAGTTCCCATCTGAAGCAACCACTGTTAGTTTCTTATGTATTTTTCCAGAGAAACCTTATGCATATATGTTGTTGCGTGCCTTTGAGTCGGTTCTGACTTGTAGCAACCTTATAAGACAAAGTAGATTTCCTACATAGCGTTTCCTAGGCTGTAATCTTTACGGGAGCAGATCACCAGGTCTTTTCTCCTATGGAGCCACTGGTGGGTTCCAACCACCAGTCTTTCAGTTAGCAGCTGAGTGCTTAACCATTGCACCAGCAGGGCTCCTTTATGTATATATAAACGTGTGCATGTGTGTGTAACCTTTTTTTCTTTTTTATACAAGTAGTATAATGCCCTCCCTGTTCTACAGCCTTTTTTACTTAAATAAATATTTTGAAGATTATTCCATAATAATACACATAAAGTAACTTCATTCTTTATATTGGCTGGATAATATCCAGTTTATTTAGTCAGCCTCCTGTTGATGCACGTTAGGTTTTTTGTTTGTTTGTTTTTTGCTATTGTGAACGTTGCTGGTGAATATCCTTGTAAATGCGGGGTAAATTTCTACAAGTGGAATTTCTGGGTATAATTTTGAATAAGTCAAATTGCTGTCCCTAGAGGTATACCAGTACACTTCGAGCACTAATAGGGTATCAGATTTTTCCTCTGGCATTTTACTTTTTTCTTTTGAATGAGAATGAAAAATTTCTATGTATAGGATCCTTTTCTGTGAATTGTTTGTATCCATTGCCCATTTTTCTGTTGGTTCTGTAGGAGCATTTTATGTATTGAGGAAAATCAGCCCTTTATCTTATATGTGATGAGTATTTTTACCCTAGTTTGTTGTTTCCTTTGACCTCAGTTGTGGTGAGTTTTGTCGTATAGAACAATTTTTGTTTTAATGCATGTACTTGAATATGTTTTATATATATATATATATGTATATACATTTGTGTGTGTGTGTGTATGTATATGTTTATTTATAAAATTACTTCTGGGATTTGTCATACTTAGAAAGACCTTCCCCTTTCTGATATCATTTAAAAAATGTTCTCACTTCTCTAGTTTGTTGCTTTTATTTTTTCCTTTAAATCTTTGGTCCATTTGATTATTATTTTGGTAAATTTTAAAGTAGGAAAGTTGTCCCAACTTTGCTCGCATACTAAATTTCTGTAGGTGTTCAGGCTTGTGGACTTTTCTATTCTCTCTCTTTATTTTTAAAAACAATTTACTGTGTTTAAGGTAAAAGTTCACACAGCAAATTAGGTTCTCATTTAACAATTTCTACACAGATTATTCAGTGATACTGATTACATTTGTATTCATTCTGTTCTAGTTTTAGTATTTTTAGTACTTCAGTTTCCCTGCCCCTTTACCTTCTCATCTTTGCTCTACAGTGATTTTTAACCATTTGATCTCATAGATTGGACTTCCTATTCTCTTTCAGTGATATTTCTTTACTCATGTCCTAATACTGTGGTGCTTTAATCAATGTAGCTTTTAAAACTGAATCATATAAAAGAAAAGGGTGTTAAAAAGCCTTTGTATCTGTAAATTAAGGAAATTGTATTCTTCATGTTTTATTTAATTTACAATTGTGTAATTCAAGACAGTTGATTAGCTTTTGACATGCAAATTATCAAGCCCATTGTTTTGTTGTAAGTAATTAGGAAAGTTATGTTTTTCAAAATGTATTCTTGTGATACAGATGAAAAGACTGGAGTAAGACATAATTTGCATTAAATTCATTTAGGAACTAGTGGTGACACTTTGAACACAACTTTAAGCTGGAAGCTTTTTTATTTATAAAAGGGTTAAAATACCTTTTTTTTTGGTTATGAGGCTTAATTGAGATATGCAGTGTCAATATGATATCTGCAAATAGGTGCTCAGTAGATAGTCTCTTTCTCTTTTATGTATTTAGTTTTGTAAGTAAATTTCCCATCTCAATGTTTTTTGGTCTTCAAGGAATATGTCAAGATTTCTACTTTTTGCTAATGAATCTACCTAATGTGGAGTTTTAGCATAAAGTAAATTCTAGAATATGTTTGATATCAGATTAATAAAATAATTTAGTCTGGTGGATTTCACATTTTGATTGTTTGAGGATGAGCATTACTAGTCGTGCACTTTGCTTTTCTACTTGTAATCACCACTCTTCTTAGTACCAGGAAGAATAAGCTAATTTTCTCTCTCTCTCTCCGGAAGTACCAGTATAAGTGTTCTTTGTGGAGAATTTTTAAAGTGCTAATTTAGAGTGGATGCTCCCTAAATGTTTGCTGATGAATTATGTTATTCAAAAAAACGAATATATCAGAAATGTGTCTTCATGGGAACCATAATTGTGTTAATGGAATAAGATGTCGTATGTATTTTAAATCTTTTGATAAGTGACTTTTGGTGAAATTGGTTAAGATTTTTAAAAGGGTCATAGTAACTTTATGACATTAAATTTTGAATACTTGACAGGTGAAGTAGAACTTTGTAAACAAATCTTAGTATGTATTTTACCCTATACCCGAATTCACTGCCGTTGAGTTGATTCTGACTGTGATAGTGACCCTATAGGATGGAGAAGAACTGCCCCGTAGGGTTTCCAGGGAGTGACTGGTGATCGGAACTGCCGACCTTTTGGCTAGCAGCCGAACGCTTAACCACTGCGCCACCGTATAGTACTGAATAAGTTTCATACTGGTACTTCCAATTCAAATTTTTAATTTCTTTCATCTTACATTTGTATCTCCGTTCTCTAATGCCTAGGATTCTGCTGTTTTGTAGGGCAGATCTTTTTCTTTTATGGTAATTTGTATAGATTCTCTCTACTGGGGGTACTTTTAGTAAATTCTTTTTTTCTAAAAATTATCTACTTCTGTGTTTTCACATTTATGTAGAGTTAGCCAAAGTATTTCTTGTGATTTTTAAAATTCTTTGTCATTTCTAATTTTGTGTATTTGTGTTAGTGGTTTGTCTCTTGCTCTCCCCCTCAATAATACAGCTTTTGGGTTTAAGTTCTTCTGTTTTTCCAACTTGTTAATTTTTGCTGTTGTGGAATTTGTTACTTTTAGCTGTTATTGTTTATCTACCTTTTTGATTTAGCTATTCATTTATTTTCATTTTTATTGATATATTTATTTAATACTGTCATTTTCCCACTGATTGTTTTAGCTGTATACCATAGATTCTGATGTGTCGTGTTTTTGTTTGTTACATTCAAGAAATTCTGTAATTTTATTTTGTATTTTATTCTTTGACCCAAGAGTTCAGTAACATGTTTTTAATTTACAGATAGGAGGGCCTTTTTGTTTCTTGATTTTATTACTTATTTTTAGTTTTATTGAATTATGATCAAATAATGTGTTTGTATATTTCAGAATTTATTGGGATGTTCTTTGTGGTCTAAGATGGATTCTTGAAGGTATGTTCTCTATATTCAGGAGTTCAGAGTTTGATTTATAAAATCTATGCTCGTCTAGTTAAGTATGTGGGTTACATATTTTTATTCTTAGTAATTTTTTATCGACTTGATTTGTCTTGGATTGAGAGATGTCTTCAATGCTTTTAGTCTTTTCTATTTTTTCTTGAATCACCTGTATTTTCAGCTTTATGAAACTTGTATCACTGTTACTGAATGCATAAATTTTAGGAACTGTGAATTGTAAATTGTTCGCTTCCATTTTAAAGTTTGTCTTTATTTCCTTTAATGCCTTTTAGTTTGAATACTACAGTGTCAGTTCACTCACTAATCTTTTTCTTTTGCGTTGTGTAATCTGCAGTTAATCCTTTCTAGTCTGTTGGGTGCTGTCCCCATATGACAGAGTAGAACTGCCCCATAGGGTTTTCTAGGTTGTAATCTTTACAGAAGCAAATCGTCAGGTCTTTCTCCTATGGAGCTTCTGGGTGGGTTTGAACTGCCAACCTCTTGGTTAGCAGCTGAGTGCTTAACCGTTGCGCCAGCAGGGTTTTTCATTTCAGATATTATATTTTTTATTTCTAGAAGTTCTATTTTGGGTCTTTTATATCTTCCATTTTTCTTCCTATATTCATGGTTTCCCTTACTTGAAAATGTGGAACATATTTACAATAGCTGCTTTAATAAGTCTTTGCTTGCTAATTCCATTATTTCTGGATATTTTTCTATAAATTGATTTTTCTTCTTGTTAAGGGTTTTGAGAAGCAGTTAAGTGGCTTGAAATCAGTAGAAACCTTTCCAAAAAAAGTTCCATTGGAGAAAATAGAAGTAAAAAATTAGATGTAGTGAAAATCCTTTTAAAATTGGATTGACAGACAGACCTCCATTTTTGGCCATGCTAGCATAGCAGGATACCAGATTTACCCTTGTACCTTAAACATCTAGGAAAAAAAAAACTAAACAAAAGATACAACACAAAGGTTCTCCGACTTTGAATGAGAAAAGGAGGTGAACCCTAAGAATGCCCCACCTCACTGCCTAAAGAGAATTAATAGGGCACAGCACGGGGAATGTGAATACAAATATAGCCTGGTAGTCTTGCTAAAGGTTGAGGACACAGAGTTCAAAATTTGAGGAGGCCAAAACAGATAGAATTTGTGGGACAAAAATCCTAGAGAGGAAAAGTGTTCCACAGAGAGAATGAGAACTCAGAAGAGTCCCCTGAGTATTTGGGTGAAGTCTCACCTCCACATGGCTCATGTGGAATCTTTGAGGCCAGGGATAGAACCACCAGCAACGAGTAGGCAAAACAATTCCCAAGATTCACGTAGGGTCAGGAAAAGTTCATTTTTCCACCAGCTCAGTGTGGAAAGACCTCCTAACAGGTGGAATATAGGTAAAGTCTTCACTAGGATTTTTCCTAAGTAAAATTTGCCTAGGGGCAAAATTGGCACTAGATTGCTATTCTGGACCCACCATAACGATTTTTTTGCCAGTCTGGTAGGTGGGAAGTAGTTTCAGTATTTTGCGTTTCTCTTGTTGTAAGTGTGACTGAGCATCTCATCTTTTTCTGTACGTGGTCATTTTGATTTCTTCTGTGAACTGTCCATGTTTTTCTGATTATAAAAATAAAACACTGGTTACTTACTGGGTCTTTGTTAGGAACTGCCTTTCTGAGAGTGTTTATCTCACATTTGATTGCTACTTTCAGTATAGCTTTTAAGATCCAAATTTTCCTCAGAACTTTGATGACTTTTTTTGTGTTGTCTTATAGCATGAGATACTTAAGAAGCTTGATGCAATCTGACTTTTCTTATTTGTAGGCGTGTACTTTTTTTTTTTCCTCTCTCTAGAAGTGCTTTATCCTTGGGGCTCTGAAAATGTCATTCATTTTGCCGGGTATCTCTTAAATTATTTGTTCCTTTTGTGTTCGTGGTTTTTTATAGTCTCATGTTACCTCTTTCCTTAAAATGTTTAATTATTATTAGTTTATATTTAAGAACGAGGCAATGAAAAGCTGTTTAGTATTTGTCTGTCTATACGTGCAGTCCTTATTGAATGAATGGTTGTTAGGTGCTGTGGAGTCCGTTCTGACTCATTGCAACCCCATGTGACAGAGTAGAACTATCCCACAGGGTTTTCTTGGCTGTAATCTTTACAGAAGCATATCACCAGGTCTTCTGGGTAGCTACTGGGTGGGGTCAAACTGCCAACCTTTCAGTTAGCAGTCGAGCACTTAACTGTTTGCACCACCCGGACTTCTTTATTGAATGGTAGATGTAGCTTTCTGATGAGTGTTGTTAGCTGCCATTGAGTCAGACCTCTACTCATGGTGACCGCAGGTACAATGCATTGAGACACTGCTGGGTCCTGCGGCATTTCTGTGATTAGTTGCAGGTTAGACTGTTTTGATTAACAGGGTTTTCACAAGCAAATTTTTAGAAGTAGATTGCCAGGCCTTTTTTTTCCTAGTTCACCTTAGTCTGGAAGCTTGTCGAAACCTGTTCAGCATCATAACAACATGCAAGCCTCCACTGACGGTGGTGGCTGTGCATGAGGTGCATTGGCCAGGAATTAAACCCATATCTCCCACATGGAAGGCGAGGATTCCGCCACTGAACCACCACTGTTCCCTTCATTGTGCTGTTGTTGTTGTGTGCTATCGAATAGATTCTGATGCACAGCGACCCTATTAGGACAGAGTAGAACTGCCCTCTAGGGTTTCCAAGGCTGTAATCTTTACATGCCACATCTTTCTCCTGCAGAGCGGCTGGTGAGTTTGAACCACTAACCTTTCAGTCAGCAACCTTCTGATTAATGACTGCACCACCAGGGCTCCTTCCATTATGTTGTAGGACCATAAAATACCAAGTGTCTTTTGTGATACCAGTGCCCCTGTTAGCTCCTTATTTACATTCTTTGAAGATTCTACATTTTTTGGGAGAGGGGGAAGGACCATGTGGTTGCTAAATATTTTGTTTGTATGCATGTTCACACTCATGTACACTATTCTGCATCCAAGTTTTCAGTTACTTTCTTCCTCTTTTTAATCCCATGTAATATTCTGCCTGGCTTTGTATCTGCCATACTTGCAGTTTCACAGTAGTAAATTATTTCACCTTTCTGCAGGTTAAGTCAGCTTCCTCTTTGGCTCTGGTCTACTCCACATGTACTCTAGGCCTTGGCATGCTTCATCAGTCGTAGTGTTTCCTTTTACTTTATTCCAGAAATTTCATAAGATGACTCATGGCCCTGGTGGTGTAACAGTTAAGTGCTTGGCTGCTAACCAGAAAATGTTGGCGGTTTTACCCCATCCAGCAGCTCTGGAGAAAGACCTGCCAATCTGCTCCTGTAAAGATTACAGCCTAGAAAACCCTATGGGGCAGTTCTGCTCTGTCACATGGGGTCGCTGTGAGTCAAAAATCAGCTCAACGGAAATTAACAACAACAGAAATAGCAATTACCTGTTGGTTATTTTGAATAACACCAGATTTTACCTTTTTTTTCCCTCTAGTGTCACACATATGTATCACAGGCTGGATAAACATGCATTACACAGAGTGTATTTTTAGGATTATGCTCTGTTCTTTACTAACTGAAGTCTAGGTCTTGAAGGGCATCTTAAGCTCATTTAAGAAATGTGGACATTATTCAAAAGGCAGTGGGAAACCATTGGTGGATTTTAATTAGGGGGTTAACATACCTCTTCAGTTTCCCATACTGCTAACAGAGTAATTATTCTAAAATCATACTGAAGGCAGGTAGACCATTTTGGAGGTAGTTGCACACATCAGTACAATGTGTGGAATAACTGGGATGAAGTGAAGTGGATTCATGATTGATAGGATGTGAGTTAGAGGAGATTATGATTCCTAGGTTTTAGACTTGGGCAGTTGGATGAATGAATAGTGGTGCCATTTATTTAGGTATAAGGAACCCTGAAGGAGGGTAATAATCCAGGTGGAAAGCGATTAGCATTTCTATTTAAACATATTAAGTTGGAGAGTATTCTGGGACATCTAAGTAGAGATGTCTGTTTGGCATAGATCTGGACTAGGGATGGTAGTTTCTAAGTCTTTGGTGTATATGTGGTAATTGAAGCTATAAGAGTAGATGAGCTTTCCAGGTATTGAAAGAACAAAAAAAGAACTAGGATGAACATCAAAGGATGTACAGAGGAACCAGAGCCTGACAAGGAGACTGAGAAGGAAAAGCCATAGAGATCAAAGGGAAATCAGTAATGTGATGTATTAGGTTAACCCTGGGAAGGAAAGTGGCCATTGGTGTCCAGTACTGTTTAGTGCATTGAGTAGGATAGGAATTTAAAAGTCTCAAATTTAGTTTGAGTAACAAGGTGTAACCTTGCAATATTCCATAGCAACTGTTCTTTGCCAAGGTTTCCTTTAATGTTGTGAGGCGAGTGTTCTGTTTTGAATGGTGAGCTGTTCATATTCCTTGGTTGCTGTTGGTAGGTGCTCTCGAGTTTGTTCCGACTCATGGCAACCATATGTACAACAGAACGAAACACTGCCCAGTCCTGTGCCATCCTCACAATTGTTATGCTTGAGCCCTTTTGTTGGCAGCCACTGTGTCAGTCCATCTCGTTGAAGGTGTTCCTCTTTTTTCTGTGACCCTCTGTTTTACCAAGCATGATGTCCTCCTTCAGGAACTGGTCCCTCCTGATAACATGTCCAAAGTATGTGAGATGTAGTCTTGCCATCCTTGCTTCTAAGGAGTATTCTGGCTGTACTTCTTCCAGGATGGAGTTTTTCGTTCTTCTGGCAGTCCATAGTATGTTCAGTATTCTTCGCCAACAGCATAATTCAAAGGCATCAGTTCTCTTCGGTCTTCCTTATTCATTGTCCAGTTTTCGCATGCATATGAAGAGGTTGAAAACACCATGGCTTGGGTCCGGCACACTTACTCTTCAGGGTGACGTCTTTGCTTTTTAACGCTTTAAAGAGGTCTTTTGCAGCAGATTTTCCCAATGCAGTAAGTCGTTTGAT